GTTGCTTTCCCCCCCCCCCCCCCCTCTCCCTTTTTGCCCCCCTTCGGAAACAGAATTCTTTTTCGAGACGGCCTCGAGAGCGATCGCGGCGTCTCGCCATATATGGGGCCGAGATCACACGGAAATTGAGTAAGAGTCGGACCAAGGACCAAAGGCAAGGACCAGAGGCAAGGACCAGAGGCAAGGGCGACTCCTTTAGGACGTTCCACTCGGGGGTTGCGTCATCTCGCGTCCGTCCGAGTCCTTTTTCGGCACGGAGACGCTCCGGACCGAGATCGGCACGGGGAATCCGTGACCCGGTTTCCCTTTTTGCACGGACCGGCCGCGACCGGCCACGTGACGCACGGATGCCGGCAGAGGAAGAAGAAACGAAAGGCAACTCCATATATGGAAGCGCGCAGGCGATTGGCTCCCGGCTTCTCGATTCGGGGAACTCACTCGCGCGTCCCATTCACGTTCCTTCCTCGCGCCGGCCCATCTCTCGTTCTCTCTCTCTCTCTCCCTTCTCGCTTCTCTCGCTTCTCTCTCTCACAGCCGAAAGGGGCCGCGGACGGGTCGGACCTAATATGGGCGTTCGCCGCGAGACGTGAGCGAGGTCGGTCCCTCGTCCTGCGCATGCGCGAGCGCCTTGCACGTGCTCGTGATTCACTGCGGACCCATGGCCACAGCCATCATGGGTAGTGAAGTGGACCTCCTCGGGACGGCGCCGTGTATAAAACGCGGAGCTCCCCTCCCCCCGAGGTCTTTCGCTCCTGCGGTCGCGAGTGGTACGGGTCGAGCGAGTCCGAGTCCGGCGCTCGGGCGGATCCGACTCTCTCTCGTACGTGGCGAATTTCGTTTTCGTGAACGTCGCGGATTCGGTGCTTTTTTTTCATTTCGTGTTTCGACCGGTGCGACGGCGGTCGATATGTAGGCCTAGAGAAGGAAATACCCGGAATCGACCCCCGAATTGACCCTCGATTCTTCCCCGATTCTCCCAGTTGCGAGTTTCTCCCTCTCCCCACGGAAAAGAAAGCCGAAAATGTGCGACGAAGACGTGGCAGCACTCGTTGTGGACAATGGGTCCGGAATGTGCAAGGCGGGCTTCGCCGGGGACGATGCGCCCCGGGCCGTCTTCCCCTCCATCGTCGGCCGGCCCCGTTATCAGGTATGTGCCGGGGGCGGTTTTAACCGCCTTCCGGCGTTTCTCGTGCCTACTCGCGGTGGGTTTTCGCCCGCGGTTTTCGAGTACGTTTTCGTTGCTGGAATGCGAGACTAAAAAAAGAAAATATAAAATTTAAATTGTTAAAATTTAAAAATTTTCTAATTGTTTATTATTATTAGACGAAGTGGGATTTATTATAATTTATAATTGTTTTTGTAGGGAATCATGGTGGGAATGGGTCAGAAGGACTCATACGTCGGGGACGAAGCCCAGAGCAAGCGAGGTATCCTCACGGTGAAGTACCCGATCGAACACGGCATCGTCACCAACTGGGACGACATGGAGAAGATCTGGCACCACACCTTCTACAACGAGCTCCGGGTGGCCCCCGAGGAGCACCCCGTCCTGCTGACCGAGGCACCCCTTAACCCCAAGGCGAACCGAGAGAAGATGACCCAGGTACGGACCGGATGGACGAAAATGAAAAATGAAGGAAAAATGAGGACAAAAAAATATTTAAAAATGAGGGAGAGATGAGGACTAAAAAAAATGAAGGGAAAATGAGTAAGAAATTTGGGAATTTTTTCCGTAGATCATGTTCGAGACGTTCAACACCCCAGCCATGTACGTGGCGATCCAAGCCGTGCTTTCGCTGTACGCATCCGGTCGAACGACCGGTATCGTGCTGGACAGCGGTGACGGTGTGAGCCACACGGTGCCCATCTACGAGGGGTATGCCCTGCCCCATGCCATCCTTCGTTTGGATCTGGCCGGGCGGGACCTCACCGATTACCTCATGAAGATCCTCACGGAGAGAGGCTATTCCTTCACGACCACAGGTGAGAAAATTTTTTTCGCATTTTCTTTTTTTTTTTGTCGAGTGGAGGGTCTAATGACGGTTTTCGTCGTGCAGCCGAGAGAGAAATCGTGAGAGACATCAAGGAGAAGCTCTGCTACGTCGCCCTGGACTTCGAGCAGGAAATGGCCACGGCAGCGAGCAGCAGCTCCCTCGAGAAGTCCTACGAGCTCCCCGACGGCCAGGTGATCACGATCGGCAACGAGCGATTCCGCTGCCCGGAGGCCCTGTTCCAGCCGAGCTTCCTCGGCATGGAGTCCTGCGGCATCCACGAGACGACGTACAACTCCATCATGAAGTGCGACGTGGACATCCGTAAGGATCTGTACGCGAACACGGTGCTGTCCGGAGGCACCACGATGTACCCGGGCATCGCGGACCGCATGCAGAAGGAGATCACGGCCCTCGCTCCCTCCACGATGAAGATCAAGATCATCGCCCCGCCCGAGAGGAAGTATTCCGTCTGGATCGGTGGGTCCATCCTGGCTTCCCTTTCGACCTTCCAGCAGATGTGGATCTCCAAGCAGGAGTACGACGAGTCCGGCCCCAGCATCGTGCACAGGAAATGCTTTTAATTGCTTCCCGTTTTTCTTCCGTCCCACCACCGGCGTCTTGTTTTTCTCTCTATCTCTCTCTTTGCGTTTTTACATTCCTTTCTCTTTCGCCTGTGCATTCCAGACGTTCGCTTGGTAATTCCTGTTCAGTCCATTCCTCGCCATCAGGTTTCCAGCCGTGAGATGAATGATGAATATTTTTGCATGGCCATTTCATTCAGTATATTTATAAATTATTGTTTCGAAAGAAGAGCGCCTTAGGTTAGCTTTTTCTGCCAATAAAAGTGAAAATCCGGAGCGTGTGGTTTCTCGATTCCCTTTTATTCGAGTCTCGTACGGCCGGCAGTCGGCCCCACAGGAGATACGCCCGAGGAACCGAGAGGCCGGACGGCAGACTTGCCTGACAGGATGATGGACGAAGCGAGTTGGTGGAACACGCCTGGGCCCATTAGATCCAGGCTCGTCGTGCACATGACACCTTTCGTGCATCCTACTATGAGGGGAGGGAAATTGTTCGGCCGCACGGTAATTTTGACAATCTTGGCAGGAGACTTCGTCTTCCGTGCGAAACGAATCTTCCCGAGATGAATCCGACAATGCTTCGATGTCACACTGGCCTAAATTGGCTCATTACGCGATATAAAAGGCTTTTGGCGACTGTCCATTGTGAGATTCCGCTCTAATTAAGCTCTCACGAAGCCTCGAAATGAGCCATGAGGTCCACATTGACCTGGTTCATATTGCCATATGTAATTTACTGGATTCAAATATGAACCTGGAGTTTTTGCTCTGCAATGGTTAACTTCCTTTTGCTTGACCTTGGCTGGATTGGATGTAAAAAAAAAAAATTAAATCAAGTATGTTGGTAGTTCTTGACATTTGCTTTCACCCGGAAAACATTACATTATTCTTGACCCTCTTGCATCCAGTTTATGAACCAGTGTCAGTGCTTTTCGTGCTTAAATCTTCTGTTCAGGCGTGTCCGACCCCAATGTAGGTTGAAATTGGTGAAAGGGCCAACTGCGTGTCTCATAAAACAGGAACAGTTTCAGGTGGAACAAGCCGGAACAGAAGAGCCATCTGCTCTTTCATAAGTCAGCAGGAAGAACTGATTTATTGTTTATCCGTTGATCTTTTTTTTTTTTGCTAGAAACGTCAGAGGAATGCATACAAATTCGATAAATTTGTTTGTCATGCACATGTGACCTGATATTCAAACTAGTGAAAGGTTAATGCAAATGCATAAACTGTTGATAAGCAAGCATTGACGAGAAATTACGGTCATGGATGCAAGAGGTTCAAAAGCAAGCTTTTGCGAGAAATGCAGGAAGCTCATTAATTATTGAAGGAGTTTAAAAATGTATAACTTGAAAACTACTTGGAACAAATTGATTGGGTTTGCAGCTGATTGTAGCTAAACAGAAGTTATTTATATGTATGTTTGACTCATTCATGACTAAGGCAGGGGAAGGGAGTGAAAGATCCTTTCTTGCATCAACTGATCGCGTTATACTGTGCAAGAATGCATTTGGTGGTTCACAGAATTGAGATCGGTTAGCCTTCAAAGTAACTTTTAGGATGTTTTTCAAAAACAATCCATAAGTGACTATTCAATTAAAAGGTGGTCTAAGTTCCAAGGAACTGGGAGTGTCCCACAGAAGGAAAAGGCAGGTGGGCCTGGCACATCTGAAGATGTTCTAGGTATTCGTGAGTTCATTGCTAAGTCCCAAAAACAGTGTTCACATTGAAGTTTACTATAAGTACATTTAGACAGAAAACTTCTTCCTAAACAACTTAAGTGTGTTTAGCTACTGTCTGTTGCAAACCCAATCAATTTATTCCAAGTAGTTTTCAAGACATACATTTCAACAATTTCTAATTCAATTATCTATGAACACCCTATACTTTGATCAACTCCATGCGAAAAGCAAGTACCTTCAAAATTCTTGGTTTTCTGTTGAGGTATGGCAATTTAGAGCAAAGACTTCTGAAAATACAGTTTTGAGGAGACTTAAAAAAATTCTTTAGACATTTTCAAGTCAACTTATACCTCAACAGCTAGCAAAAATGTTCTTACAGTTCTGTAAATTTTTGTCATCAAGTTTCATTCCTTTTCTGACTGGGCAACAAAACACTAACTGCCACATGATGATGAGCAACAAGAAGAGAATGGCCTGCAAATGTTGTCACATTCAACTTTCATGCAGTCAAACAGTGGCATAAGCATGGTTCATATGCCATCCAGGTCAGGTCAGCACATACAAATAAAAAACTAAGTTTTTAACAAATGAGACAAGAAGTGGTAAGATCTTGTTGCTACAAGAATTCTTCTTTGGAGACAACAAACAACCAGAAAACAGAACAGAGGTGGGGTTGGGGATTGGGGAGCAACTCATGTAAGAGAAGATCTCATTGGAATCAATGTTGATTGATTGGGATCACAGGCAGTTTTATCCACATCCAAGAACGGCGGATCGGGGGACTAGACGGCTGGACTCGCCTCATCTGCGACGCTGCCTTCGACCACCATCACCTTCCTTCTCCCTTTTCGTAACCTCGTTTGCTTTGGGACCCCATGGCAATGAAAAATACCTGTAGGAAAAAGCAATTCTCTTAGTTTCCATCACAAGTACACAAGGCAAACATGCTTCTCCAAGAAAAGTCTGTGAAAGTGGCAGTCAGTTCTCACTTGTCAGAGAGATCAGGAAGAGGAACACCAAAGGCACAGACGGGAATTTCATCGGTATCGGAAACGTGAAGCATACGCAGACGCTTGGGGCTAGGGTAGAACGAATGCGGAACGTCTTCTTTTCCTTCGTCGCGACGCTGCTTCCTTTCCTGCTTTTCATACTTCTGCTTTAACTTCTCATACTGCTTCTGGTCGCGAAGCTGCTGCATGTCCCACCTGGCAAGAAAGTGATATCTCTACAGGGACACATAAAAGACCCACCTTCAGCCTATGCAATGTTCTGCTTAACAGATTTCTTTTCCACTTTCTCAACTGGAATCAATATCATGCTCTCTTCTATGTGTCCATCTGCACACATAAAACGAAAAAAATGCAATCTAGGCAATATATAATAGTCTATGCCCAATTAGAGCAGATCACAACACACCCACTTAATTTCTCATATTTGAACCTGAAACCACCCTTTTTGGTACTTTTGTATTGCAACATCTCAGTTTTTAGGCATCCTGCCATTATGGATATATGAAGGTTTGATAGAAAGCCTCCATTTACAACATGTACTGGCTGTGATAGAATCTGAGTGAAGTCATACCAACCAAAGCAACGAAAAAACCCCAACATTCACTTAAAAAAAAAACCAATGGGTTCATGCACCGAATCATCCATTTCTACAAAGCATTTTCATTCTGAAGACATTCTCATGACAAGATACTCATTTGACAGCCGAAACTCAAGCCTTAAACAACATTAAGGAGGAACAACCAGAGAGTGATGACTTGTTGCAGAATTTTGTGCTTCAAGCAAGGCATTATTATTGCAATATGAGAAAGTCTCACAACAGAACAAGAACAAGCAAATTATTGAAAAATGAAGAAATTTCCTTTTATACTTCCTTGCAATTCATTCTCCTTACCATGTAGGTCTACTATGACTTTGAACCAAATCCAATACCTCTTTTATCATCAACTCAGTTCAATGGTTTTAGCAGAATGAAAAATCACATTTGAATTTAGAGATTAAAGTGAGATGATGACAGCCATGATTTAGCATAATCTCACTTTAATCAATATCTGTCTCCCATTATGAATGGGCAATGGGTTTATGAAAAAAAAACCAAACAGTTAGGCATTCATTTAGACAAGTAGGAAACTGAGACAGAGAAATTCAATGTTGAGTTGTTAGTCTCTGGCATGGAGACCCTCATATTTCAAGTCTTAAATTGCATTTGCCCACTTGTATGCCAGAATGTTTTAAATCCACCCCTCTCACCATGAATTTCCAACTGAATCTATCAAGGGCTTTTTTGGATCTAATTCTAAGAAAGGGAGTTGTGGAACCCACTATGCATTTGATACACATGCCTTGGATGGTAAAAGGATTCATAAGATATAATCATGGTTATCAAAAATAATTCTTTCTAGGGCAACATTAACACTCTCCTTGTAGAGGTAATGCTATAGTTTTATTTGAGTCCATTGCATGATTTGCTATGGTCTCCTGTTTCCGCAATATGCTCTGGTTAGCCATGATGTGACAGAATAAAATATGGAAGCAGATTTCCATTGGTTTCCAAGTTTCAACAAATTATAATCTTATTCATGACATTCCTCAGCTCTGAATTCTTCATTTACTTCATAATTGGTTTTCATTTGTTTTGACTTATTATATGTGATTTCAAGAAAGTTCTTACAGAAGGCAACGTTGGACAAGTGATAATTACACAAGGACCTCTAAATGCTGTTGGAGATTTCATATTAAAATGTTCTTTCCCAGTGCTGCACTTAGAAAAAAAAAAAGTTACTGTCAGCACTGTCACATACACTTTTACAGTGATGAGTAACCTTTGTTTGACTGCGGGTTGCAAGAGAACCTTTCAGGTTCCTGGCAGGATGCATGTATTTTTTTCCATACAGAATTACAGGCTTTATGCCTGCGGAGTACCAAAATAATTTTAAGCCTGGCTTTGTAAACCAGGTAGTAAAATAGTTGATGTTTATTGATATGCAGAACTAATTTTGAAAATTTTAACATAATTTTACTGGGCAAAATACCAAGCAAGCCGCTTGCTCCTAGAGCAGTGATACACTGACCAAGAAGAGAGTGAGGGGATATTCATAGCAGAAATATAGCATTTATGTTATATTTCTTGTTTCGGCATCTCTTGCAGTGGGCAACAGAATCCTTGAGTGCATGTGTGCTCTACTCCTGGTGGCAGGCAAGAGGAAAAAAAAATTCAGTTGGCAGGCCATACACCAGGACCTCGCAGGCCACATGCGGCCCGTGGGTTGCTCATCACTGCACTATTATGTTCACTTGATATAAGGCTATGTAATGTGAATGCAATACAAAATAGCTTGACTACTTTACTTCAGATTTAAATGGTCTTACTTGTGGTTTTGATTCCATAACATTGGCTATGCAGGCCCACTATGAAATGTCAACACATTGCAGGGGATTGGAAAAAAGAGAATTTTCAAGGTCAAAGACAGTTTGTATGCAGCAACAAACAAGACTCAAAAGGGAATTAAAAAAACTCCTAAGATTTGGAGCAACAGGTTTGGTGACTGCAAGGTGAAAGATTATCACTTCATTACTATTATTGTCACTTACTTTAAATTACTACTATTACTTATGTGCTTTGGAATATTTAAAGGCCTATTACACGGATGGTTCCCAATTTATTTACATAAAAGAAAAATCCCACCTTGAGTAGTTTTGGATAATAGGAATATTTGACTTTTATATTATTAACCATTTCCATGGAAAATTGATATGGGAATGGTCAGAGATGTGCTGACCTCAAGCCAAAACTTGCTATTAACTGAGGCTCTTTGCTATATACCAGACTGGATGACAGTCCATTCTTCCAATTGGACTTCTGTCTTCCCTCAAATCTTAGCTGCACATGCTGCTACAAGCTTTGAATGAATTTCAAATATTGTCTCCAAATGAAGATGCTACCATGAAATGGGTTAAGGACTTAGTACCAAAAAATTTCCACACAGAGAGACAAATTTTTTTTTTCAAGACTTTCTGACAAAAATCATTGAAGGGTGAGAAATACTATATCACCAAAGAAATAACCACTCCAACATTAGCAAGACCAAGACCAGGGTGGGGGAAATTTTCTTACCGTTTCCGGCGCTTCTCATCATTCTCCGGTTTCATGTGACGTTTGGTGAAGACATCATCACTCAAGTCCTCTGTGCCTTCCAGGCAGAAGAGACGAGATAAGGGATTTGACTGCCATCCTGGGAGCTCCACCACTCCCTCCTCCGAGTGATGTAACGATTCCCTGTCGGTATGACTGTGTAGGCGTTGGACACTAAGAGATGCTCCTCTGTCATAGTGCTTCCTTGTCAACAGGGGCTTCATCTCCTCATGCTTCACACCAGCTGCCATAGAAAGAGCAAAATATAAACAGATCTTTCAAAATTGCAAGTCTGTTTCTCTCCAACCATTAACTTCCTGGAAAATTACAAGATTCTACACAGAATTCCTTGCACTCTAAGCACTTCCTCAAGCAGTGAGAAAATCCAAGTTCAATAGGAAAAAAAAAAATTGAAGAAAACCCTGTATTAACTCCTTTTCCTTTTTAATTTCCTTGTTTTGAGCAGCTGCCATCCAATAACTCTCACACTCACAATGCCGATTATGAGTGGAATCCCTCAACATAGGGCCACTTGGTCTTTCTGTCTCTTCTGAAGTCTCCACCCGTGAGGAATGCTTCTCCTGCTTCACAGGCTTTCTATCCCTGGAACGGGTTAATGGAGGTTCTGAGGAATCTTCTGATGTATTGGCACTTTCTTTATCTTCTTGGTACTTCTCTGATTGTGTCCTGGAGCTTGTAGCTGGAGTTGGTGAGGCAGAGATCACAGACTTCCGGACCTTGGTAGGGGCAGATGAATGTGTATTTCCTTCGCTAACAGTACTCTTGGCTTCTTCACTTTCACCTTTTGCTCTGGATCTCCTTGCCTGGCGTCCAATCTGCCGTCGTAGCTGCAAAGACAATTGTCTCCGTTCAAGATTTATATAAGCAATGGCCTAGATCAAGCAGTCAAGGCACCAGCATTCAACCAAGCACTAAACAGTTAATACCAAGAGTAGAGGCTTCAATCAAGCCTAGATCACCCCAATATACTGGCCCCAGGTGTTACCTTGCAAAAAGCTTTAAATAATGTAAATGATCATTGGCAATCTCTTATAGGGGAAAAATATGTAATTATACAAAAGCAGCCCTCCCACATCACATTCTCACCACTTTTTAGTCCCATACTTGGTTTTCTAAGGTCCCTAAATGCCAAGTTCCAACCAATGGTCCTGTGATCTCTATGTTGCCTACTTGCTCTAGAGGTGGTCAAACTGTTCAAAGGAACCAGTAGTGTTGCCATAGTCTCACACTACACTGCCTACTACCCGTATTCTGGATGACAAGACTTAGGCTAATGTTCCTTGGTGTCTTCAGAAACCTGAAACTAGTTAACCCTAATCCGGGCAAGGTGAGTCCGCTGGACTCACTACGACATATTTCAGTCTATTACTGTCATTATTTTTTTAAACTNGTGAGTCCGCTGGACTCACTACGACATATTTCAGTCTATTACTGTCATTATTTTTTTAAACTATCAGGACCATTGAATAAATTGTCTGTATTATTTTAGTTACAGTACTGTTATTTATAAGAATACATACCGTAACTGCAGCAAATGGCCTTATTTTACATGAGTCTGACAGACTCACCTTGCCCGGAATAGGTTGTAAAAAAGCTTGCCCGGATGAGGGTTAACTCTGCCTACTCCACACATTATACAGTCCACTTAATAAATGATATATTTCACTCTTAATAGTGACTTCGTCAACCATGGCAGCATGTCACCATGTGCAATGAGTAACCTGTCCTTAATGAGAAAAAGTTAAATAAAACTCAAGAAAATGTAACCAGTGATCATTTACCTACAAGTTTAAAAAGTCAAATGGTTAGCTGAGTAGCTTTTAAATTCCCCCAATACAGCAATCAACTTCATGAACCCTTGAGTTTGAATTCTTTGCATACACCAACCACAACCAATGGAATTCCATACAGACCTTCTCAAGGCATCTGTGCCTTAAAGAAGTAACTTAGAGGTATATGCTTGCCTTAGGCATAGCTTAACTTAGGCCCATCAAAAGCATAAATCATTGGCAATACCAATCATCAGTTGTCTTACTGTTTCATTTTCAGCCTTCAATGCTTGGATTTGTCTATCTCTCCCCGTCAGAGTTTCCTTCAGTTCGGTGATGAAGTCTAACGCACTTGCAAGAAGTTCCTTCAAAGCAAAGTGACTCTCTTGTGACACAGGTTGAGAATAGGAATTTTCTTCAAGATCCTCACTGCTGTTACTGGCTGGTCGACAGTTCCCATCTTTCCGATCGCAATCGTTCCCAAATGACGTGTACCGATGATCAAAATCATAGGAATTGGGAATTCGGTTCACAGGCTCTTTCTCCTTGTTAGGCCTAGAGTTAACACTGGGGAAAGTTTGGGTCTGACATCGCAAATAGTCATGGTAGGACGGCGGACTCCCGGTAGTCACAGGCTTGCTCTGATTCGCATCGACAACGTTCACATTCAACGTGGCCGTCTCGTCAGATCCGTGAATGGCGACGACATTGGATGCGGAACGAAGGAGGAGGTGAGTTTCCTCATCTTGCCGGGATTCTACGGTGAAACCGAGCCCGTTGACCATGTTGACAGCCATGAGGCAATCCACAAGGGAATCCAAGTCTTCTGCTAGTCCGTTGTAGTCGTATAAGCCAAGAGAGGGCCTAGGAAGCATTGGCAAACCGCATGATGACTGGTCGAGAGAACTTCACAACTTGCTCTTTTGGAAGCATCAGCCATTATGGCCTCCTGTGTATGACGTCATCAGTTTCGCGTCGTCTGCTAGGCCAAGTTAAGGATTTAGTGTTTGAATTGAACGTGTTCCCTTCTAAGATATAGGTATCCGTTGAAAGGCATAGACGAATCAGAGTTTTGCCAGAATAATGTACATGTCCAAATATACGTCTAGAGTATTCCAAAGAGGAGGGATTGGCTTTATGGTTTCTTGAGCGGGGGGGGAGGTAGCGGCAAACTCACAAATAGGCCCCTACTTCCTGTAGCCGAGCTAATGTTTATATTTCTGCAAGGACAAATTATTTTTTTTTTTCGCGGGAGAGGGGGAAGAGACAACGCAATACTCATAATAATCTGATGTTGAAAAGCAGAAATATGGAAGTGAATAGCGGCTCCTGGCTCAAGCAGAAGCGTCGGAGTGGCGCTTCTGGATCGCATTAACAGTCGTACAGTACATCCAAAAACTTCTGAGGAGATGGAGCTGATGTTTATGCTACTGAGGATATGGCTTTGATTATAGACATTCGTGTCATTTTTTCAAAATATCTTAAAATGTGCTTCACTGTGCTTTGAATATGCTTTAATGTGCTGCACGCGGGTGGACCAGTGGTGCAGCCAAGATCCAGGATTTCGCCAAAGTGAAGCTAGAGGTAACTGACTGGGTCTAGAATTTCCATAACTTTTCCGAGGGTAGGGGGGAGGGGGGAACAAGCAAACTTGCTGAAGCCCCCCCCCCCCTTGCTCCGCCACTGCTGTCTCGCTCTTCCAACAGATCGGAATGCTTTCGCACGACGACGTCTGCTTCCACGAAGTCACGTTGCAGACAACACCAGTTCGCATTTCGATTCTGGACGTCATGATGGTATCAGATAGCAGCAAGAGGTAGCATGCATGCTTGAACTGGTCATTCATGAAGTCTTAGCAAATTGTGATTTTCCATTGAATTCACTACCCCAGCGTGACGGATGAGCAAAGTATCCATATTTTTCAGCCTGAATTTCAAACTTGAAACAGCAGAGTCAACGACCTGTAAAAGATATTTCCATAAAGAGTCATGTTATTCGTGCAGGACACTTAATTGAGGGGCTATCAATGCAATATAAGATGCAGTCTAATTCTGATTCTAAACAGGAAATTTTGCTGCTATCAAGGCATTCTGTCGGACTCATCCTCAACGTCTTCCCACGCCAGTCCCGCCTCAGTCGCTGGCCAGTGTCACTAATTTTCAGAAAGCAAGTGTCACTCAACTTACGCGACTTGGAGCACCGATCAGAATGGGAGGTGACTGTCTCTAAGTCACGGCATCCTCGACTCGCCTGCCGTCCTAAACGCTGGCATCTTCCGCCATAACTGCAGGAAATCAAGGAGGTCGAAGTGATCAGAACGGATGTGCATATTCGAATTCGACTTCGATGAAAGGGAATGCTCTGGGCGGGACATGGGACGCTCTCTCGGTCAACTCCCTTTGATGTTCCAGTGATTTTCGATTGAATTCACCCCCCACCTACTATGGTGAAAACATAAACTCCCGTAATTGCCCTTGTTAAGGTAGATTCCTATTTTCGTGGTCCCTTAAAAAAAAAAACGTTAAAAGCTCTACAGCGAAGAGACGCTCTCGTCGCATTTGCCAGTGACGAACGCGCTCCCAACTGCAACGCACTTTAGCGCCTCGCCGCATAATCTCACGCACGAAGGCAGCAGTGAAGTTCCGGCAACACTCTCGCTGAGTCACGATTGAAGCATCATTGTCGCAAAAGCTCGGATCGGATGCCATGCCCTTTCTATGCGCATTACCCAAACGCAAGAGTAGGTTCGAGTTTGCCGATATTAAGGAAAAATTCGCGAAAACGATCAGTTCGGTTGAATGAACGGTTTTCTAGAACAGTTGAAAGTAGAACTTGTAGAACGGTCGGAAATTCTGGAATTTGCCCTCACCCCCTTTAGCTTGGGTTACGCACGCTGATCGACCCCGATCTTTTAGATGCCTGATTTGGCATTTTAATTAAATAAAAAATAAATTCGACATTCGGCGCCGTTCAAAGGTGAAATTAATCGAAAATAAAAAATATGGGTTTTTATTTCAGGAATTCGTGATCCATGGCTTCTGTCGACTTGGATCGTTAGCGGTAAAAACTATAAACCTGTCGACTGCTTTTGCGATGTCGGGATGCAAAATCATTTCTCCATTCAGAATTCACAGTGACAAATCAGCCTGCTTCACGAGGCCATAGAGCCAAGCAACCAGATGCGGATGTTTTTCGTCGTCTTCCTGTACTTTTCACTCCTCGACCGCGGAAAATCCGCCGAGTACAAGACCGATGCAGGTCGAGGCCGATGCAGGTCGAGGCCGATGCAGGTCGAGGCCAATGTAGGCTAAGGCCAATGCAAGACGAGCCCTCATTGCGAAGGAGTCGCAACCGTGCACGTTTACATGCACGAGTCTGCAATGCATGTGAAAGAATGATAAAGAAGCCAAAGAAGCATGCACGGAGCTAAGAACCCTCGACATCACGCCGCCGTCGGTCGTCGCCGACATCGTCGCTTCATCGAATCGACTCCAGTACGCTTGCGGCTACGATCCCGAAAAGGGCAATTTGATTAATTGACGGTCATATTGCCCACGCGGCTCTCTCCGCGCTTTTCCCGTCGCATTCCGCGAGCGTGAGTCACGACGCAACCGGTCGCGCGATTGCGTGGGCAACCGGCAACAAATATTCGGTTGCGACAGGCATCCCAGCAAACGTTGGACCGACGTTGTATCGACGTTCCTAACGTTTATTCGATGTCGATTCGACGTTGATTCCACATTATATGCTTCAAATTGCTTGCTGGGATGTTTCCTGGCGCAAAATCGACGAGAATTTACTCGAAAAAGCAAATGATGATGTCGCCTGATGGCGTTATATCGAGGATTCGACTGCATCATATTCTCTGTGGACGTATTGTGCTCTCTGTGGACGTATTGTGCTCTCTGTGGACGTATTGTGTTCTCTGTGGACGTATTGTGTTCGATCGAGAAAGCAATGACCGTGGGTGGTCCCACGAGCCTTGTGCTCTGTCGAAATTTTATATTATTTATTGCACCGTATCACATTTAAGAAATATGTATTTTCTGAGCACTCTTGTTTCAGAAAGGTAATTTTGCGGAGGGCTGCCATTTTTTTTTAGCTCTTTTTCCGAGCTCTTGCGAATTTCGCCGAGCCAGAGCCAGCCCAGATGGAAAGCGCGACAGACGCGATTTAAAAAATCGGAGTCTCCCATCAGCTGGTTTCCAGGTGCCTCCTTTCTTTTTAAAGGTCAAATAAAAAAAAAACACCGCAAGGGAGAGGAATCCGCAAAACTATTAAAAATATGTATCAATAGTTTCTTTTAGATTCCACTTCTCGCCCATAATTAATTCTGGTTTAAAGGTCAAGAAAATGAACTTATTCCTCGTCCTTATAAAATAAAGGATAAAGGATAAGATAAGATCAAAGCGTTCCAGACCAGTCCTCTGCAGTACTTCTCTTCCGGTACACAAAGTATTTTAGACAAATGTCGCCCAAAATTTCTATAGAGAGCAACAAAAAGCACAAATTGAAAGTAAGTGAAGGACATATTTTTGACATGGGAATTTTGCATTTCTTGCTTTTCGACTCAATAGCGCCATGCCAAATTTTTCTGCCATAAAGAAAAATATTTCGTGTTCATTAACCAATAAAAAAATTCAATTCCCACTTAGTTTATTTTTTCTTTGAGAATTTCTGATCGTTTTCCGCTAGGAATTGATATTATGGAGGGAAACCGCGAATTTTCGTTAGTGGATGCTTTGAAAGAGTTAATCCTGAATTAAATAACTCTGTTCATTCTGTCAGTTCTTGAGATATTCTATACTCCGAGGTAGTAAATTTAAGAATTTCGCAGTACTGTGGATTCCAGACAGGCTCATTGGAATTGGATTCGGGAATGCGTCTTAAATACCTGAGATACCTTCTTCTCGGAATTCAAAAATTTGCTTTAACGCCTGAAAATCGACTCGATTCTAATTTTTCTCCCAGTTCTTAGGGCAGTCGAAGGGATCTCGAGATCCAAGACTCGAAATCTCGGTCAAGGTTGCTGGGTCCTTTGACCTTGGACCGAGGATTGCACGCGCGCCTCTGCATACGCTCACGCGCGGAAATACCCCGAGAACTCTGAAAACGTGCTGCTGCGTTGCAAACAGCACGTGCAAATATGTGCGGAGCTGCTCCTCGTTCCGCTCCTCCTTCCCGAACCCAAACTGATCCCGGGGATAATCCCTTGAGACTCTCGGGAATGACGAAGTGCCACACGACCTCGCCCTCCGCCGCGCAGCGACTGAACCGCCGAATCGCCGGGAAAGGGAGGCGCGAATTCGAGATCTGGGGATGTCTGCTCGTTTCCAATGGAAACGGTGGGACTGGGGGGGGGGGAGGGG